TTGTAGTATATATTGTATGTTATGTATATATATTCTCTTATATATTTTCTTGTAGTATATATATTGTATCTTATGTATATATATTATAACTTATTACTTATATATTTTCTTGTAGTATATATTGTATGTTAGGTGTATATATTACCTTATATATTTTGTATGTTATGTGTATACAAATTTTTATTTTTATTTTAAAAAAATCCATTGGGCCCGTTAGGCCCGCCCGGCCCAGGCCCGGCTGACGGTCCCGGGCTCGTGGGCTAATCTATGAAGACCGGCCCATCACGGGCTTCTCAGGCCCACCAGGACCGGCCCACCAAGACCGGCCCACCAGGACCGTTAGGACCGCGGGCCCGGTCCGGTCCGGTTCAGGCCCGGCCCACCAAGCAGCATTAGCTATAGTGAAGTACTGTTACAAAGAATCATAACATAACATGAAAAATTAGTTCCAAAAAAACTTTGGTCGTTATTGTAAAGTGCTGTTATAAAATTTGACTATTATAGAGAGATCTGAATGTAGTTTTACATGAACCGAAAAATTACATTAAACCAGCTCTATAGAGAACTTAAGTGGTCAGACCACAACTCAAAATGATTAAAATTGAAACTCTTTAGCAGTTTCCTATTCCTGTTTAACATCTACTGCATCCACTTCTCACCATTCTATTTTTTTTTTCCTATGAACTATTTTCAAGAAAATGGAACAAAATCTGTGTCTTTATATTAACTCTTATCCAAATCATCAAAACCATTTGCTAGTTTTCTGCTTATGGTTTTTCCACCAGGTGACTTCACTGCTTCCTCTTCATCCCAATCGTCGTCCCAACTCTCATTCCACCCTTCAGCGTTAGTTTCCAACTTGATGGAAGATTGAAGTTCTGGTTTTCCCATTTCAAGTTCCTGATATGCAACACCATCAAGATGTCGATCTTGTTTTCTTAACTTGCAGCAGATGAATATTCCTCCGATTAGAAGAGCTGTCACACCTAGTAAGTATGCCCCATTCATAGGGGTCACATAAGTGGTATAAGAATATGGCAAGTTAAAGTAGCCTTGCCATACTGAACGTCCAATCTCAATCGTACAATTCCCAGTCCCAGCATCTAGCATAATTGTTGATGAATTCGCTCCAATTGTGGACGAGATATTGATCTGATTTACAAAATGAGGATTTGAAAAACATGGAATTAGGAGCAGCACATTAGTTTACTTTCATGATTTGGAAGGTTGAAAAACATTGTCACCGAAACAGCACATTAAGGTTGATTATATCAATACATGCAGCCTATAATAGTGTCATGTTCATTTTTTGAGTCAGAACTGAACAATAATAAGCTTTATTTCTTCATTTCAGCCTTTTAACATCCAGGATTCCTCGATTGGTACCAAAAATGAAGAAATAAAGTTTATTGCTGTTATTTTGTAGTCTTGGAATTTGTCAGGACAAAAGCCAGTCATTCAGAAAGGAAGAGTTCTTTACCTGCTTGACATCATGTCTTGGTATCTGAATATTTTCATAAGTTTTGTTTGCAGGTGAAACATTGACCTTCAGCATCAAAGGGTTCTCACCGTTGTTGTGGACGAGCAGAAATGATTCCTCATGTCCTACAACAAAATTACAAAGTGAGCTTTATGGTCTAGCCAAATTAAGGTGTTAAGACAAGAAAGTGATCATTCAAATATAACGTAATCTAGGAAAAATGAAATGTACACCAAATCATTTGAATTCAATGTAGAAAGATGTTTGCCAGCGGATAAAATGGAATCAACGGTAAGAAGGCAGGACAAGAGAATATAGAAGTGTCACGATTATCCAATCCGCTCCTTGTTGCAAATTAAAATGACAAGCAAAAAATAAAAGATCAATAGCAAGTCAATACATAAGAAATATTGTAAGAACAAGAGCTAAACAAAATCTTAAATAGACGGAGACATCAAAGTCTTCACGTGTATATTTTCTCAGCACGGAGTCACCTTCAGCGACTATCAGAAATTAAAAGAAAAAAGGAAAGAAAAGAACAAATGGAAGGACAGAAGACAAAAGAGTACTAGAAACTTCTGAACAAGAGGACACCAGATGTAAAGCTTGAAATTTGGATGAAATCTGCATTACAAGTAAGTTAAAATCCTAGAAGCTTGGAATTTAGATCAAAAGAAAAAACATCAGATTCTTTAGAAAGGCAGCAATTTTGGCCCCCAGTGCTAGTCTTAAGTCAAGAAGGTCCAGCAAAGCGCAAGGGATATTGTTCACAGTCTTCTTTTGAGTTGCATGGAACCTAGGCTGCTAGATTCAGGATGGAACTGAGGCCCCGTTTTGGAGCGTGTCTGGAAGATTACAACAAAAGAATACTGCTCAATGACAGAGAGACACTAACTTAAGATAATGACTGGAGAAACTAACTGCAGAAACTTGAAATTCATGAGAAAACTAATCAAATCTTGCACGGATATGTGGACGGCAAAACTTTGCCTATAGCTAAGTCACTTTGCAAGTTTCTCATAGGCAACCTCAATCCGTATTAGCAATGTGCTATGCTGATTATGTTGGACATAATTCTTTGCTTATTTGACACTTGTAATGTCAAACAACTTGCTTTTCAAAGGCGTCAACAATTAGCTTGCACTACAACAAGGTATCCAAGATGACATAATAGCATAATATTCGAAAAATCCACGTTGTCACGTTCGTCTAAAATAAGCTGCTACTAAAAGCGCATTGCAACCCTGTCAAATATCCAAGCTGCTCCGTCGAATCAAACCCTGCTCTTCAGTTTTAATATGCTTTTTGAGCCATATCGACATGAACTTGCCAGAAAATTTACAGCATGTTGTTCATATCAGTACAGATCATAATAATTCATTTCATAACAGATGAAAGAAAAGTGAGAATAAATGCAATAATGAAGTGCTACGTTCTAATTCAAGCACCAAATATACTAAAATTGTAATCACGAGTTTAGCAATCTAAAAATTACATAGCCACAAGGAATTACTGTATCTAGTGAAAAAAACGAAAGAAATGGAGAATTACCTTTCTTGGCAGGAAAAAAGCAGGCAGTCATACTGATATGATCATCCGTACACTTATTAGACGCCCCGTCACAATTACGACTAACAAAAGCCGCCGTTGGTTGGCCTACAGGGGCTTGATTAGTACCTGAATTCGCGTTAACTGCAGCGACAAAGCTTGGTGATGGGGCTACCTGAATAAAAATAAGTTCTTGAAAATTCCACAATCAACAAAGAAAGAGCACAGAACAGAACTGTGAACAATCTTCGTATAAGTGCAGCTGGCCTCAGCTTGATCTAAAGAGTTGTTTTAAGAAAATAAATACTCCCTCCGTCCTAATTTATGTGTGAGCAACACAGAAGTTAAAGAAAGAAAGACTTTTGAATTTTATGGTATAAAATAAGTCACAGACATTTGTGTGGCTATAAAACATCACTAAAATCGAAATTTTAAATTTAAATTATTTCTAAATATAAACATGTAAACAAACTAAAAGAAAGTATGCCACATAAATTAGGATATTGAATGGTGTGTAGAAACCTGATTATTTAATTTCGATCGGGAATCTGGAGGCTGAGCTAAATGTTCGAAGGAGTGTACAGAACGTGCATTGGATTGCTCCAAAGAAATTGAAATCAGCATAATCAATGAAACAACCAATCTCCAGAACACCATTTTAACTCCACACTGCAGCACTTTTATATTAAAAAAACTCCAGATCAAGTGGATGATGGACCCTCTGGATTTGGGCCTCCGAACCGAAAAAAAGCAGAAGAACTCATAAATTTTGAGAAGTGAAAAGGGGAAAAAATATATCAATAATTAAAGAAGATGAGGAAGTTTCAAAGAGAAAGGAGACAAAGACAAGCAAAAGAGCTGACGGACTAAAAGAGGAATTAATTAATGACCGCGTCAATGAGTTATGAAAATTCTTCAGGCTCGTCTTCGTCTCTCACATTTCATTCGTTTACTTTTTCTTAGCGTTACCTAGTCAAAATGGCGTGCTTCAACGTCACACTCATTCCGTGGAAATTCACCAGACTAAAACCCCACGCCTTACTCCTCCCCCTACGCCATGACCTTCCTTTCGGCAAGTCTCCGCCATTCTTTTCAAGTTAGCTCTGTACAAAATACTTTTGACTTGCCATATCAGTTTCTACTGTATTTCAAATTAATAGTATAGTCATAACTCTATGAAACCGCATCATTATATAACAATATTTTATTACAAAAGCTAAGTTTTTCCGGAACTAAATTTCATGTTATGTTATAATATATATTTTCTATAACAATAATTCGCTATAATATCCAAAAATATCTGAAACAAGCAAGGCTGTTGTAGATATGTTTGATTGTACAATCTTGTTTGTTCCAGATATTTTTGGATGTTATAGCGAATTGTTGTTATAAAAAACATATATTATAATAGAACATGAAATTTGGTTCCGGAAAAACTTGGTTGTTATAGTGAAGTGCTGTTATATAAGTATGTTGTTATAGAGAGGTCCGACTAAATATATAATAATAATGGAGTTCACAATAACACATTGTTTGGACGGTTGTTATCTCTTGTATTGTATCATATTGTTATTTCAAATACAATGTTTATTTTGATTGTTATTTAAATTTTATTGTATCGTATCGTTAAATTTATGGTTACGTAGCAACGAAAAATGTCACCTTATGAAACGACAGATTTAGTGTGGTCGTATCGTTTTTCTATTTTTTTCTCTCATTTTGCCCCTTTTTATTATTAAATAATTATATTTTGTTATTTACTCTACCTTTTTTTATAATATTGTCTCGTTCCTTACTTTTTTTTTAATAATATTGCAGTTTATTCTTCATATTGTTGGTGCATGGCTTCATGAAACGATGACAAACAATACAATCTATTCAAACATTGTATACTTCAAAATGATACAATATAATACAATACAATACTACCCGATCCATTATAAAACAATACATAACAACCATCCAAACAAGCTGTAAGATATTTATATACTCTATATTTCATGGATTTTTTAATAGAAATATAGGGTCTATATAAAAGTTATTGGATTCGCGGGAACCCGTGGCGAAATCAGGAATTTCCTCAAGGGTGTTCAAACTCGAAAGAAGTTAAAAATATTCTTTGATAAAGAGTGATTAATTATCTATATGCGCAATGCAATATTCCGACGAGCATCATCAGGAATAACTAATAAATTACAACCCTATTGTACAACAATTGGGCCATTGGTCTTTGCAGCTCTTTGGTTGTTGGTTTCATTACTATAAAGCGACCCCAAAATTGGCTTGGTTGAGGGTGGTCAATTGACCACTCTTTAAGATATATAGCTTCACTCCTGGCGGGAACCCGTATACACTGCTCTCTAGATATGCCACTAGACGTAAAATTTAATAAAGAGAGGAAGACTTTAAACGTCTTAAATATGCCAGAATATTTGGCTACAATATTTTTAAAGCTTGTAATTTTAAACAAATTATATTATTTATGTAAGTATAAAAGTTTCTCATTAATAAAATATAAAAATATGTCAATTTTTTTGAAACGGACTAACAATTAAATAGTAACAAATAAAGCGAAACGGAGGGAAAGCTTCTTTTACATTATTTGAAAAGATAGCTATAGATAGGGGTTTATAAAAAATAAAATTAGTAACTCAGAAAATAAGATAAATGACACATTACTCCATCTGTAAGATGATGTAAGGAAAGGGGAGGGTGATGAAAATTTAACACCTAAAGCAAGTTCGCAGAACAAAATGATTAATTTGTGTATTATAGTAATACCATGATTTATCGGATTTCATGTACTTATACATTTAAATTTATTACATTAACAATAAAGTATATGCAAATCTTTGAAATTAAAATTCAAATTTCAATATAAACAATAAGACAAACAAAACATTACATGTGGTCACATGTGGTACAACGGATAAGGCTACTCCTCTCGTAACCAGAGTTTTCGTGTTCGAGCCCTAGGTATGAAAAAATCCTTGATTGAGAGCGCTACCCCTCAAATAGGGTCCTACCTAGCCCGAATCCTGATGTAGCCGGGTTATAATACAGGTACCGAACACCGAGTAAGAAACAAAAAAAATATTATATGAGTTTTTCTTCATTTGTCTAACCATCTATTTGTTCTCAACTTAGAACAATGGTACCCATCTTGTATTTTCAACGACCATCAAATTGACCAATGTTCTTAATTGCACTATCCTGCAGCTACACTTAATACGGCGTCGTTTCACTGGCCCACAACCCCCAAATTCCTAAACCCCTAATTCTTACCATTTTTTTCCTAAAACAAAAAAAATTCCCACTTCCTTCATCACCAAAAATGGAGTTTCTCTTCAATCCAAACCTGCAATTCTCTTTACGTTCCAGAAATTAACTTGAATTAGGGTTGTTTTATTGACACTGCCTATGGCTTCTGAAGAAATGGGCCTGGTTTCGACCCGACGAGTGGAAAATGGACTCAATCCACACTCACAGCTCGTTTTCCATGAAACTTTCAGCTGTGGCCCACCACCACCACCTCCTCATCGCTGCGCCGCCGCCATTACCGGTGATCCGGGCCCAAAAACGACCCGAGAACTTACCGGATTCATTGACAAGTACGATAATAATCATCACCACCATTACTTCACTCATCAACCGCAAGCTGCCGATTTTCGCCGTCAAATGTTCACCGACGACCGACGTGGCTATGGATCGGAGGATGATCACGTGGATGATGACGAGGATGATGACGATAATGATGATGACGATGAAAATGAAGCTGAAGGCATTGTTATAGTTGAAAATAGTAATAATAATAATAATAATAATAGTGATAAAGTTAATAATAACTGTAATAGTAAAATTGGCAGTGAAAAACCAAAAACCCTTTCTGTCTTTGGTAAGTGTTTTTGACAGTTTATTATATTTTCTAGTTGTTTTTTAAAACTCGGACTTCTTTTGGATTGATGCGTAGTTGACTATTGATTTATTGATATGTTGAATAAGGTGCTAAGGAATCAGGAAATGAGGGCGGCATGGACGCGAGAAATGCAGTGACAATTGCTAGTGTTGATGGGGAGGTGTATTATAATAGTCAATATTTGCAGGGAAGGGAAGGGTCAAATGCAGGGCCGAAGGAAATGGGGTTTGAGAATGGGTGTGGGTTTAGTGGGAGAAAGGAAGGTTGTTATTCAAGTGAATCGGGAGAGTCTTTGAGAGCTATTCTCTCCGATCCAATTATGTAAGTTTCTTGTCCTGTAATCCCTTCATCCATATGATAATTTTTGACGGAGCACGGAGTTTAAGAAAGAAAGAAAGAGTTTTGAAAGTTGTGGTAAAAATAAGTTATAGACATTTGTGTGACTATAATCATTTCACTAAGGGTAAAATGAAACTTTTTGAAGTTAAATTGTTTCTAAATATAGAACGTATCATTCTTTCATGACAGACTAAAAAGGAAGAGTATCACATAAATTGGGTCAGAGAGAGTAATCTGTTTTGGCTGTTCGCTTGTTCTTCTAGTTTAGCTGCGGCTTTCTGGATCTTAAGTAAAGCATAAATTGCGTTATGACTCCTAGATTGTCTTAAAAAGGCAAGTTATTTAGTATTAGAATGAGATGGGCCAAATGGAGGTTTCATATAGATGGCCTCAATAAATTTTGGATTGTGGCACAGATGATTGATATTGATAAAATTGGTGTTAATAAGATTATTAAAGGTTGTTTGCTTTCTTGGAGCTCTTAGTTTAGACTTCGGACAAAGACAATTAGGGTGATCCCACATGTTAATATATTTGCAAGGTCAAGTGACAACTAGTGTAAATGTGCAATTAGCAGTTATATGCTAGAGGTTGCTTTTTAGGAGAATGCATTAAGCTGCAGTAATGTGGATGCAATTAAAAGTAAATCCCGCAGGAGAGCATATTATTTTAGCTTTAATCAAGTGTGATCTTGCTTGAGAATAAAAGAGTATAGATGCTTTGTCTAATGCTAGCTCTAGTTTCTCAGTTATACTGTAGGTGTGCTCTGCTACTTCCTTTCTGTTATAGGAAGAAAAGAAAAGGGCATTTGGTGGGATGAAATGATTTATTGAATTTTACCTAGATGACTCTTGTAAGTTTTTTTCAGAATCTGGGATGGTTGTCGTTTTGCCACAGAAACATAAATTGCACCCAAGGGTGTGACCTAATGGTCAATGAATCGGATAGAAACCTTGGAGACCAGTGTCAAATTCTAGTAGGGACAAAAAACACTAGGTTATTTTGCCTAAGTATTGGTGGGTAGACTTATCCAGTACCTATGTTGGTGGGAGATAGCAGGTACCCAGTGAAATAGTCGAGGTGCGGAATATTAACGGTAGATTTAATATTACTGCCTCCATTTCATTTTTCTGTGAACCTGTTTGATTGAGCACAAAGTTTATGAAAGGAAGACTTTTGGAACTTGTAGCCATGACATTTCTGTGGCTATATAATCATGACATTGAGGGTAAAATGAAAACTTAAAGTTAAATTGTTTCTTAATATAAAACGATTGTTCTTTTTTAAACAAACTAAAATGTCATATAAAATAAAAACGAAAAAAATGTCACATAAAATGGAAAAAAAGGTGTATGTTGTTAGCTTATGCAAGTTTTCCCGCCTAATTTTCATTAAAAAAATCTTCTGAATCGGCATTTGTCAACAAAATGTTCTCTTTTTGAAAAACGGCTGAGGCGTGCTTTTACTTTTTCGTTCTTCTAATGGCTGTATAATATTTATCTATTCTGAGTTATCAAATGATAATGTTTATAGTAGAGGTTAAAATAATCTTATGATTATTTGCTTATGTAGTTAAGTAGTTTCTTTCCATATTTGTATTTACCGTTTTTGGTTCATGCATTATTTTATTTGTCCTGGCTTAACATCACGTGCTCTTGCAGTCTCTTTCTATACGTTATTTGCTGTTCTAGATTCATGCATTATTTTATCCATCTCGTTACTTGCATCCACACTTGATATCATGCTGTCAATTTCAGGGGAGCACTTATGGATGATGCGATGATATTGCCTTGTGGGCATTCCTTTGGTAGTGGTGGAGTGCAGCATGTGATTAGAATGGTATGTCCTCTGGAAACAGTTTGTTACCAACTTTCATT